GAATAAAATAAGAAAACCCTATCTTATACCGATCTTGATCGATTCCTTTATCATGCAAAGTATCTACTCGATATCGCTTCAAGCATCTTCTTCTTCTTTATTCCTTTTTCTCTTCTTTTTCTTGCCACTTTTACTTTAGATATCACCAAAGTCATATTTGAAAAAAACTTTTCTTTTTTAAACCACAAAGAAAATTTATACCAACGAAAATACATTTACGAGAGATTGGAACTACGGTTTAAACGTTATCATAATTTTGTATCGATGTTCTATTTAAAATACACATTATAACATTATCAACATTTATTTTTAAAAATCTTATTTTTTTTTTTTATCAATCATAAACGATCTTTGATAACTCACAGCAGTAAAAAGAAGAAAAAAAAAAAAAAGGGTTTGGACGTTTGGTCGTACTCGTTAAACGATTCTTCATTTTTACGAGGCTATTATTTTTTTCCTTTCTTTTTTTTTTTTTTTTTTTTACGGTAACATAAAAAGTAGATTTGCATTTGCACGTTTCGAGAAACGAACGAGCATTACTCGTTTGCTATTGACTAAGAGATGAAAACGACAAGAAGGAAGGTTTCCTACGTCGTAGTATAGGTACGTCGGAGCTTTTCTCGAAGCAATTGCACTATTCGCTGTTCCACGCATTTAATTCTGCTGGCTCGTGTTACTTCAGGCTCTTTGCTCGGCGTTACTCACAGAAGACTTGAAAGTCAAAGCGCTCAGGCGTTAACATATGCCATTTCGAGCGTAAACACAATTCAAGAAATGTTACTAATTGTTATAGTCCCCTTTTCTCGTATTTCTATTATTTCCCGTAAATAAAATCAAGTGTTGATATCAAGTATATTTTGTTAAATGTATTTATCTTCAAATTTAATAGTCATTTATTATATACAATTATTCGTGTAATTTTTTTTTTTTATGTTTGTAAATAAAAATCTATTGTCTAACATCGTTTTATTTTCTTTATTTGATTTTTCTTTTATATTATAGTGATTCAGTATCGATGATTCAACCCTATGAGAATACTATTTTCTTCGATCAATTTTATTTGCTTCTTAAAAACTTTATTTCTCAAATAAAATAGCTATAAAGTTTTATAACGTATTAAGCATATCGTATCTGACAAATAGAATTTCTATTTATTTGAATTGCATCTCGTAAATTCACGATGCCTAGCACATCAATTGTAGATAGTTCGTATATTCAATTGAAATAGTTTATTTATTAGTTTAAATAGATCATTCTAATGCCTTTAAGAAAACGTATATTATATTCTAATGAGAATTTAGTTTAACAATAAAATTCCATGTTGCTTACTGACAACTAACAAAACTTCAAAAAGATTGGTTTTTATATTAAATAATATGTGAACATACAAAAAGATGCATCCTATGGTTGAGACAGTAAAATCACGTTTAATTATAAAATGTAATTACAAGATAAATTATTTAAAATTTAAGAAGTATTTTAAACCAAAAATTGATCTCTTTTTAAAAAGGATACAAAGTACTGTTAAGTATTCAAATTAATTTAATTAAACTGGTTTAAATATTTTTCTTTTTGGTCAAAAAACTTTTCAAGTTCTTTCATATAGTTATATTATTATAAAATAGAATTGGAATATTGTAAAATTTAAAATAAATATTCTTATTAAGTTAAACATTTAAACCGAGGTCTCTTAATCCAACATATTTGAATAAATTTTCATATATAAAAAGCTGTGGTATATGTCTAACAATATAATTTAATCATTTAATTTCTTTCGTATTATATTTTGTGTTTAAAAAGTAATGGTCACTGTAGTCATTATACTTATGCATGTATTTTATACTCCACCTCAGTTATCTTCGAACTTTTAAGTATAATATTTCGTTGAATTTCCTCACCAGTGTGTTTCAGGAATAAATCTTACTTTACCGAAGAAAATCACACCTCGAAGGTACACGTATATCTTCTTAACGACGTTACTGTAGTAGTAGCTTCGAACGTATTCGCATGACGTAACTAATACTACTGAAGTGTACGTATCATCATCATCATCATCATCATCATCATCATCATCATCATCATCATCATAGGTGAACGATACGAAGAGAGATTCCTCAGATTCACTTCAACGTTTCATATGTACACTATGCATTGTCGTTGGCAACGTTTAATCGCATTGCTTGAGAATTTAATACACGTGTGTGTTAGTACGTATGATATAGGTATATATAAACGTACACACACACACACTTATATGCGTTCAATTTCAATAAATCCGCTTAATAAAATGAACATTGTAGGTGATGGTATGTGAAGTGAAGCTACATGTGAAAAAGGTTTATTGCAAGATCGTGATTTTTTATGGATCACTTTAATTGCATTCACTGAATTTATTTTCATTTCAACTTTATTTTTAAAAACAAAATTGAATTAATAAATTCACACGAGAATACTCTGAATCATTTTCTTTTTTATAATATATACATATAAAATTAATAACGTTTTTCAAAATATAAATTATGTTTTAAGCTTGAATCTTCGTTTATTGTTTTTTAAAATGAAATTAACAACTCACAATAAGCAAGTACAAATTTCTAATTACGTATTGAACGTGTTAGATGATTAATAATTATTCGGAACAATACTAAGGTTCACATTGGTGTTGAAAACGTTGATGAAATGAACGACCTAGGTAGTTTCGTACCTTGTTGCGCGTCATTTTCACGAGATTCATTGGCTAATCAAACGGAACGCTTTAGGCTCCAGCTAAACGTTATGATTCTGGGCTGTTTGGAATTTAATGGCTGAGCCTGTTAGTAACGAACGAACACACAGACAGAGGCTCGCCCATCCTCAGAATTTGGCACTTCCGATAGGATCTTCGTACATGCTGACGCTGATTAATCATTTCGATCGAACGTCCTTGTGATTCAATATCGGTGGAATACGGGTTACGACGAAAAGGGTTCTAACCTCCTTAATGTTAAACCTTATATCCAAATTTTAATCGATTAGACAAATTAATCAATGTTGTAAAACGTTTTATCTATGGGAATTAGGTATTATTAATGTGTTTACTATACATAATCATCGATATTTATTATTTCTAACAAAATATTTTTATTCACGTGTTATTTTTTTTTTTTATTTATTTCAAAAATATTAAAAAATATTTCTAAGTTTAATTCGGTTGCATTAATTTAAATTGTTTTTTTTTTTTTTTCGTATTTATATCGAATGAACATTTTACGAAAATAACGTGTATATTAATTTGATAAATTATATGATAGGATATCGATATAATTTTCATATGATAAATTTTGGACGAATTAACCATCAATGTCGCATGGTTAAGATCACCGAAATAATCGATGGGATCTTTAATGGCTGTCGACATTACGGTGCCATAACTCGTTGCAGTTGGAAGCGTTCGAAATTCCTGGCACATTGTTATCATTTTGACGCGATATTCCCTTCGTCCTAGATATAGGAACATATAGTGTGTTCCCTCATACGGTCTGTGGATGTTCGCGGTCTACGAATCATCCGGGATCGTGCATACGGTAAATCGAATTACACTGAGGGTACAGCAGAATATAAATAGAACTCCTTTGCATGCGATAATTGAACTGCCTTCGACTAAAACGATAGACAGACGAAAAGAAAGAGGAACAAAGAAAGAGAGAGAGAGAGAGAGAGAAATAACACCCCCCCCCATTCATACTACCCCTTATTATTTTCATTCCTTTTTTTTATTTCAACGTATTCATTCTATTTGTATTTAAATATAAACAAAATGTGTTTTGTTTCGTTCGATCAATTAAAAACGTTTGCAAAAAAAAAAAAAAAAGAAAATGAAAATAATAAAAAAAACAAACAAAAGAATTATTTACCTTGATGAAATTACAATTTTCCAATTTTTTCGTATTCTCTTTTCATTTTTATTTTATTCACATATGTATATATGTATGTATTATATATATATATATATATAT